CAACTTGTAACACCCCTAAATTTCAAGATATTTAAAACTTATAAAATAAAGGTGAATTCATTGATTAAATCCCAAATAGAGCATGAAACTATCTGTAAGAGTCGGGGTGCTATGCCACACCTATGTTTGAGAACCTAGGTGCACAGGCTTAAACTAACTAACATAAGAAATCCTCAAATCAATATCCAATACAATCCCAAGGCATGCAGACCACTACAGAGCTAAAACTAACTAAGCTAAGTCCAAGGCTCTAACTAGCGCGCTCCGAAGCTAATGCTCATCACCTGAAAAACGTTCGGTATAACAACCGTCAGCGAATAATGCTGGTAACCCACTCCAACGCGTTAAGTACAATATAGGTAGATATAAGAAACTCATTTTGAGACTGGAATACATATATACTTACGGGACTCTAGTTTAAATCCAAGATCAAGACTCAAGCTAGGCATATAACAGACTCAATATCATAGAATAATCACAAGAACTAATAGACACCCTAACCATGCAATGCGAGACATAACAGGTAGATGAACATGCAAATCACTAAGGCATTCAATACAATCAATTAGCATGTAGTCAACAAAGCACACAATTCATCCTCCTACCTTATACCAAGTTCCAACCGTATAACTCCCCTCCGTCCTTATATCAATTCCAACCTATACCTCCAGGCCACCCTTATATCCCCACCCCTTATGCCTCTGGGCAACTACATGCCCCCACCGATGAACCCACCTTATAACCTTATATAGCTCTAACATGACACTGCAACACTTATATAGCTCTAACATGACACCGCAACACTTATAACCTGACCCAATACTCAACGGCAAGCTAGTCGAAGTTGGGTGTGTGCCTTTAGCACAGTCACCGCTATGGCCTGTACCTTTAGTACAATAACCGGACATATGTGGTGCCAACCACCAACAGTTTATTTTCCACCAATCACAATCTCATCGATATCATTATCATCATCAGTCACACTGGCCATTGCGCAATGACCACGATACTCATCATCATCAATCAATCAACACATAATCACATAACAAGCAAGACACAACAACAATGACACGTATCACACATGAAATCCTAGAACGATGCCTAAAACACCAAACGGAACTCATACACGACAAACGGGGTACAACGGGACACAACGGAACACGGGGAAACATCAAACGGGGAAAAACACCACGAACCACGCCGGGATTCCAGAGGGTAGGTGGCGGGTGGAGGACCACCCGCCGGCGTCGGGTCACTATTCTAGTGGGTTGCCGGCGGGCAGATCATCGCCCGCCGGCTGCCCGCTGGAACAGTAAAAACGGGCAGCGGGTAGGTGGTGGGTGGTCAGTCCCACCACCTCCCCCTCACTGATACACAGACAACTTTATGGTCTCGGGATCCCCTGTGGAACCCGAAACCATGTCCAAACACATTCAAACACATAACGACAATACCACGTATTCAATTAATGGAATTAAACGAAGAATCACAACCAATACGATCAAGCACGACTCCTAAACATGCCAGGACCTAAGATTAATCATATATCGGTTCAGGAGCATCCGAAACCACAAGAACATCAAGAAATCTATATGCAAGTCCTAGACACAAGTCCTAGGCTAGACTCAACACCCGATCATGCGAAATCCCACCCCAAATATACCAAGAACATCATAATACGGAATCCACGTAAAACCCTAGGGCTCTAGACATAATCAAAATACAAGATCATTCACATAATTTATCATGGTATCAAGAACATCAAGATTGTCACATAAACATCAAGATTATCACATAAACACGATATAATCCCTAGGCAAAGCTCTATCAAGACTCAAGCACAGAATCATCTATCAAAGGAGCCAATGAATAAGATATAGCAAGGAAAATAGGTTTTGTTGAGACGTGGGTTACCTCTTAGCATTAATCAATATCCTTGGCTACTAAGGTTCCTTCTCTAAGATCTTTTTCCCGTGGGTTCTCTTATGTTTGGTGGCAAGGGGATTCCTGTGAGTATCTTGTGTGGTAGAATTAATTGTGGTAGGGTTTCTAAATGCTTATTAAGTCCATATATATATATATATATATATATATATATATATATATATATATATATATATATATATATATATATATATATATATATATATATATATTTAGGAGTCCTAACTAGGGTCTGAATAGTAAGGATCCACCTACCCCATTCCTTATAGGATTAGGGATTTGAGTTTTAAGGATAAGGGTCCATGATCCATGGTGGGCCTCATCAATTAATTAAAGGGGATCATAACCCAATTAAACCCTTTCTAATTATTATTAACGCAATCAATTAAATAATTAGTCTGGGGTTTAGAGGCCGTAACACGGGGTGTTACACAACTCAAGAAGCACAAGGTGCAACCCCTTTGACTTAAGTGACTAGTCAAAATCTAGTCCCTCGACTATTGAATTTCAGGATTTTTAGGAATAAATTAACAAAGAGACTAGGATTAATTCTCTAATTAATCCTTGATTAGAGTTTGGATTTAAGGGGTGTCACATCCTCTCCCCCTAACACGAAGCTTCGTCCCCGAAGCTTGGGCACGACGAGTTCATTCAAACGGGTAATAACGAATCAATCAATGTGACAAAAGGAAAATAAGAATACCATTTAACCAAATCTTCAAGGTTCCAAAAGGTGTAAGGTTTGCAAAAATCCAGAAATTGCAAGGTTTCAAAAGGTCACAAAAGAAATTTTCTTGAGCACACAAACGCTAAGGCCAAGACAACGACAACTAGAAGCCTTTTAAACCACGCCTAAACTCAAACAACTGAATTCTAACTAGGCAAAACACTAAACTAACTATCCAAGCAACAAACTAACAAACAAGATAAACAAGAAAGAGCAACAAGCACAGCCAACAAGCAACAACTACTAAACGACAACAACAAACGAGAAAAGAAACGAGCTTACCCCAACTCCAGGCCTAAGAGGACTCATCCTCCGACTCCTCGGCATCCTCGTCTGAGTCTTCCTCAGCTCTACCACGGCTAGAACCGGCCTCCAACTTGTCCAACCTTCGATTGGCGGCAACGAACTGAGTCTTCATGAAATCAAAACCTTCCTCAATCATCCGGTTCTGCTGACGAAGAAGGGTGACCACACGTTCCTCGTGTGTCATAGCATCATGCTCCTTTTTGGTTCTCACCTCCTTTCTCCTTATGTTTTCTTCACTTTCGGAGTCGCTCTCCTCGACCTCCTCTGCTTCTTCTCCTCCTTCTTCCTCTTCCCCTCTTCTTCACCTTCACTCCCAGCATCTCCTCCCAAACTCTGAACCGCGAGGTTCAAATTTCCAACAGGAATCTCAAGCTCTGCAACCAGCGAACTCCTCTCGACAGGGTCTTTTCTGGCGACTTCTTCAAGAGTGATGTAATCAACATCATCCAGCTGAAACAGGTTGCAACTGCGGAGGTTTGTGGCATCCAAAATCATCTTTCCCACTGGCTTAGGCACACAACCTTCAACACTCACCCCCTTCCTAACGAAGATCCAGCTTAGGACCATGCCATAAGGCAAACTCTTGCGATTATGGTCTCGACAATAGACCATGTGTTGCAACATCAACGAAGGAAAGTTGAACTTTACCTTATTCTTCAGACAGATAGCAAACGTGCACTCCAGCTTACCCAGCAAACGACTCTTATTGTTATTTGGCAACAAGCAATCAGAAACGAGCATGACCAAAATATTTTACTCAGTAGATAACCACTTCCTCTCCGGCCTCGTGGCCTGGGTGAACCCACTAGCTCTTCCCAACAGGTAACTCAGATAATTTTGATAACTCATGTTGTTTGTCTCAATCCAATAGTCACCACTATATTGCGAGACTCCCGTGGTTGTCAAACTCAAAAGCTGAGCCAACCGCTTCTCGGTCAAGATAATCCTCCCACCTCCCACCTTAGAGGTAACCTCCAACCTTCCACTATCTTTAGTCACATTCATGTGACGGTAGAACTCTTTCACCAAACTTGGGTAAGTCTCGGTCCTAATGGAGAGATACCCATCCAACAATCCTTGGTAATTCAACAACTCCAACAAAGAACTCGAAAAAGAGTCGGGATCAAAAGCTTTACCTTCCAAAACTAGGTAGTGGGCATCCACCCATTCCACTCTTCTCACGGATTTAGACGTCCTAGGCATGATTATGAGATGACCCGAACTTCTTCTTCTTTTTCTTTTTCTCTTATTCTCGGCTTGCGGCTTCGATTCCGGCTGGGCGACGACGAAACGACGACGGGCGGCTGGTTCACGGCGGCGAAGCTCGGCGAAGGCTCGCGGTCGACGGGCGGAGGAGATGCAATGGGTAAGGGGGGTGGGGTGGCAGCTACTTGCCGGTGGATGAGAAGGAAAGAGGAAAGGGTTTTGGGAATTTGGGGAAATTTGGGAAAAGAAGATTTTAATTTGGGGATTTTTGGGTAAGATGGAAATTGTAGATTAAAAGGAATTTAGGTGGGATAAGGTTTAAGAAATACAATTGGTCTAGATGGTTCAAAGGTTGGGTTAGAAATTTGGATACCTAGGTTCAAAACTTAGTGGTTATTTAAATTAAATCGTTTTAGCTTTTTAGGCTTCACTTGTAGAGATTTCCTAATGGTTGACTATTTTAAATTTTAAGTTAACAAATTAGGCTTAGACGACCAAAAAGAATGAGGTTTGAATTAAAAGTATACTCGTAAGGCTTTGGAATTAGAACTAACATTAAACCACTCATAATTAACTAGCAAATCACAAGGGAAAACTCACTCGAAAGATACAAGAGGATCACACAGCAAAGGATAAGGAAAACACAAGAAAGGCACACTCTCAAGGTAAAGGTAAGTTTAAGAAAGGTTACCTGCCGTCTCTTCCTCCACCAAACCCTCAGACTCGACCTGTGACCGGCCCATCACGAACACTCAGCCCGAAGGCTTCGCCCCAGCTACACCTCGACCGGAACTCCCTCCCGAGGGCCCACTAAGTCTCACACGAAAGCTTTGTGGCCTCTTTCCCCGCACTTGAAATATCGAAGTGCAAGTCCATAGCAATCCTTCCCTACATGATCCTTCCCATATCTCTTGCATGCAAAAGTCCTCTCTTGGGCTCCACTCTCGACCCGAGTTGATCCTTGAGGCGGAGAGGGTGCGGGTCTGGCTCGGAAGTCTTGTATCGGCTTCTTGAAACTGTAGGACCCACTTCCTTCATTTATCTTCTTGGCGAACTCGAACGACCCTCGCTGTAGCTGTTGCACTCGATACAGATCGGCCACGCTCAGATAAGTCTCCTTCAGAGTTCTAGGCTTGCTCACAATTAACGCCTTCCGGGCTTCATAGTTGAGCCCTGCCACAAACTTCTCCACCTTTGCTAGCTCGGTGGGGACCAGCATCCCAGCAAAATGCGCAAGCTCCAAGAAGCTCTTGTGGTACTCCACCATAGATGACAACCCCTGCTGAAGGTTCAAGAACTCCTCGTACAAGGCGGCTCGGACGTGCGATGGATAAAACCTCTCCCTCATCCTGTCCTTCAAGGCTGACCTGTAACACCCCGTATTACGAGTCCTAAAACCAATTAGTTAATTAATCAATAGCCCAAGAGAAAGAATAAATTATAATGATTAATTAGGGAAAAAGGCCCACCATAGTCCGTGGGCCCTCATATATAAACCCAACCCCTAATCCCAATAGGATTAGACTCTAAATAAGATCCCTAGATCTATAAATAGAGAACTTAGGAGGCACCTAGAATCCCCACCGCAATAATCTCTCACCACCCAAAGAGCTCCAAGAATTCCCCTAGGAGAAATCAAGAAATCAAGAAAGCTTAAAGAAAGATCCTTCATAGCCAAGGAATTAATTAAGGCTAAGAGGTAACCCATGTCTCAACAAAACCTATTTTCATAGCTATGATTCCCCCTTAGGGTTTCCCCCATATTATTGTGATTGGCGAGATATGATGATGATTATTGATGTTTGATGTGATGATCCCATGAGGGATCTTGATAATCGTGATATTGGGAGATTCTTGATAATTAAGGAGTTCTTGATGATTATATGGAGTTCTTGATGATTATGTGTTGTTCTTGATAATTGTGTGACGCTCTTGATGGTTATGTGTTATTCTTACCGAATCTTGCAATTAGAAGACGAATCGTATCCTTGTTGATATAAAAGTGATTAGAACCCTAGGTTGTATCGTATGTTATGATTCTTGGATTGTGGGGTGGGGAAATCGCATGTTTGGGTGTTGATTATGTCTAGAAAAGCATGATAGGTTATGTGCCGTTCGTTTCTTGTATTTGATCCGTTAATTGTCTACGTGTTGTCGTTAAATGCGTTGTAAGGTGTCTAAGCATGGTTTCGGGTTCCACAATGGGTCCCGGGGCGCAAAAGTGTTGAAAAGAGTCAGTGGGGGGTAGGTGGGGGGTAGGGGACCCGCCACCTACCCACGGCCGTGAAACACCGCCCGGCAGCGGGTAGCCGGCGGGCGGGCAGCTGCCCGCCGGCGACCCGCTGCCCGGAACAGTACTTTCCGGCGGGTGGCCCCCACCCACCGGCTACCCGCTGGAATTTCCCCCACCTTGGGTTCCCGGCTTCCCCGTTTGATGTTCCCCTGTTCCCCGTGGTGTCCCAACGGACTCCGTTTATCGTGCCTATGTCTAGTTTGATGTTTCGGGTACCGTTTGTAGGTTTATGAGTCTATTATATTGCATGCTAGTTGAATTGGTATCCCGTTGACCTAGGTGGAAGGAGTATGAACCCCTTAGGACTATTCTTAGTATGTGATGGATCACGCATAGGTTTTGTTATGCGCTTTCTCCCCCTTCCCAATGTGTAATATGGGTTGCATGTGCTTGCTATGTGTTATGTGTGGGTGTTACCCCAATTCGGTGGCGATCGGATTGGTTATCCTGAGCTGCGGTTCAGAAGCTGGCTGCGGTCAGATTGATACTCTTGGGCTGCGGTCCACCGTTTGGTTGCGATCAAACGTTTGTATACGAGCTGCGGTTCGTCCTCTTTCCTGGCTGCGGTCAGATGACATTCTCTTGGGCTGCGGTCCACTGTTTGGTTGCGATCAAACACTATGATGAGCTGCGGTTCATCGATCGGTTGCGATCGACCCCTCCGTGTTGCGATATGGGGCAGGGCGCTGCGGGGCCGTGTCAGAGCTATATGCGCTGACCCTCATGTATGGGCATGCGATTGGTCCTGTGGCGCCAACAAAGTGTGTTATGTGTTGTGACATGGACGAGTTGTGATTACGAGTGTCTTGGGGGATGTGACTATGGGATTTATATTGGGGATTGTTCATGTTGGGTTATGATCATTGTTTATGCTTTGCCTTATCTGTTGTGAACTGCATATGCTCGTTATAACAGTTGCTTGTGTCTGGCCTTATCTGTCGAGTCATTCCCGATTTTAAAGCTAGAGTTCGTAGGATATATCTTCATGCTCAAAATGGTTTTTGTATATCTATATATATCTCTATATGTATTGTATTTCAACGCGTTGGAGTGGGTTACCAGCATCTCTCGCTGAACAGATATATTTGGCTTTCAGGCACAGAAGATTAAGTCACTGGAGCGCGCTAGAACTTGGAGTATAGAAGTAGATAGTTTTCCCTTTTGGCCTGCGTGCCACGTTTACGTAATTACGCTTTGAGGATATTAGTTAGTTAGCCTGTGCACTTGGGTTCTCTAGCCCAGGTTTAGCATAGCACCCCGTACGCTTGTATTTATTTCTTGGGATTTAATGAGATTCTACCTTTATTATAAGTTTAAAAAGTCTTGAAAATCTGGGGTGTTACATGACCAGTCGAAACCAGGCTCTTCTTGACACGCGGGACCCTCGTGCACCCACCAGAGATCAGCCTCGTGACTGAAGTAAAAAGAAGCCAGCTCCACTCGGCGATCCTCAAGGCAACCCACAATGGCGATGATCATATCGAGGGACTGGATCCACTCCTCGAGTATCACGGGATCCTCCTCTCCAGCGAATACTGGTGGCCTATGTCCCGAGACTAAACGATGATCCCGATTCCCGCCAGGCGGCGGCGGAGGAACAGGGTTGTTGTTGTGCAGAAGGGCTTCACTTAGCGTCTGCATCGTTTGTGTCAGATGCTGCAAGTTCTGAGCCACCTGCTCGTTGGTCGGCGTCTCAGGCGTACGGGCGCGGTGACGAGGCAGAGCCATGACGAAACTTCTACAACAACAACACGGTTACGGAAGGCACAAACAAACAACGCACCCTACCTGGCGCTAACTACAAGAATGCTAAAACGAAACAAAAACAACAAAGCAAACATAACAAACGGTAAACAACACACAGCTAACCACGCGTCCTAAAAGTCCTAAGTCCTAAAGAGTTAAGTACTTAAAGGTCGTCTTATAGTCTCAAACGACATTTAACTTCTTAAAGTCCAGACTCTAACATCCTAGGCTCAAACCTAGGCTCTGATACCAACTGTAACACCCCCGATTTTTACCACATTTTTAAAACCTAAAAAGGCACGAGATAAGCAACCTAAACATCCATTAAACATTAAGCGGAAGCAAGTCTAAACGGGGGTATTATGCCACATCTTAAAGTACTAAAGATGCACAGGCGGGAAAACTAAACAATTTAAACAAGTCATAAAGTGTCAAGGCACACAAGCCGCTCAAAAGGCTCACGGGCCATCAAAACATAACGTCTAGACAAGGTGACTAAGCTATCTATCGTTCCAAGTCTAGCGCTCTCGGGCATCTACTCAAAACCTGTAGAACAAGGGAAAAACATGGGGATTACACCCAATCAGCGAACATTGCTGGTAACCCATCAATACGCGTTAAATAGCATATATTGATAAGTATAAGTCAAAACCATTTTGAAACGGAATAGAGTATATATCATTTCAAAAGCCATAGAGAGAAGTAAACTTCAGGGACTCATTCACACTCACAAAAGGAAAAAGGAATCACCATCCTTACAACAATCACAAGACAAGAACATGAAAGACAATACAACTCAAGATGCATTCTACTGATCACAAAGTAAAATACATCAAGATATGCTCATTAGCAAAGAATACACATTCACACAACGACAACTACATGCCACAGCGACAACTACATGTCACAAGTTTCATAGTTCCAACCTTATGCCCTGTTCCAACCTTATGGCTAACCCCGACCTTATTTCAGTTCCAACCATTACCTCCTAGTGCCACCCTGTACTTCTGAGTCCAACCTTGTACTGCCAGGGACCATCGTCCCCCCTCCAACATAGCCTCCAACATACCGCCGAACTCTCAGAACACGAGGTTACCATTAATTTCATTCACACAACCACCTACATGTGAGCAAGGCTCAAGTAACAGCCACCCACATTCAATCATAGTCACACAAGTCATCATCATTACCAAGAAGACTAAGGTTCCACAATAACCTTAATCAAGTATCAATCAAAGGGTACAACGATTACATACGTTCATATCATAGAAATCAATCAATGGATCACAACAAAGACATGAAATCATACTCAATAACGAAGGATCACAATCCACCAAACGATGGTCAACACAAGTTGTCAATCCCAATAAGAAAGAACAAACTGCATATACTAGCATTTCAACATCAAACTAGCATGCTTATTAAATGGGTAAACTAAAAGTAGTTACATAGAACATACACGACTCACAATAGTCCAACGAATCACAAAGTCGGACCCTTAGCACGATTCAAGGCACCAAATCCTACATGGATTCCTAACATACCATTCTAGACATACGAAACATCAAGAAGACTCACAAATGGCTCAATAAAACAACATCTGGAGGTCAAAACAATCAATACCGAGTTAAAAGAATCACGGGGAACAAATCGCCGCCATCGTCCAACAGTGTTCCCCGCGGGTGGGGCCACGGGTGGACAACCACCCACGGTTCCGCCTGCGGGGACCAACCCACGAGGCACCATGTACCCCGTGGGTGGGGCGGGTAGGCCTCTGCCCGCCGTTCTGCCCGCGGGTACGCCTTGTACACCAAAATAATCCCTTCGGGGATTTTCAACAACAAGTCCAAATTCAAGTCCAAAACACCCAAAATCTCACACAAAACAACAATATGACTTGAACCCAAGAAATAGCCAAGCAATGGCCTTCAAGAACCTTAAGAATAAGCTATAAACATGCATCACCACAAGATAATGCATCATATCTCACAAACCAACACAAGAATCACAAGTAGAAGCCAAGAATCATCATATAAGTAAGAAAATAGGTTTTGTAAAGCATGGGTTACCTTTGTAGCCTAATAACTTCCTCTTATCACCCTTAGAAAGCCTTTCCTAAAGCTCCTCTTCCGCACCAACTTCATACACAAACCAAAAGACAACAAATATTCTATCTTTAGAGAAAGACACCTAAAAGGGAGTTAAAAACACCAAAAGACCAAGGATCTTACCCTCCCCTATGCTCAAGATGAAGAAAGTAGGAATCTTGGAAGACAACTTGCAAGATTTGGGATGTCCAAATCCTAGCTTGGAGAAGAAGGTACACCTTTTTAGAGATAAGCTAGAGATTTTTGTGTTTAGATTGTAGGGTGAATGAAATGAAGGAGTGTTGCTAGGTTAGCTTGAACCACAAACCTTAGGTAGAAAGACATCCCTACCTTACTAAAGTTGGAAAGACAAGGGAACAAGGGCACAACTCAAGAAGCATAAGGTACAACCCCTTTGACTTAAGTGACTAGTCAAAATCTAGTCCATCGACTATTGAATTTCAAGATTTTTAGGAAAAAATTAACAAAGAGACTAGGATTAATTCTCTAATTAATCCTTGATTAGAGTTTGGATTTACAGGGTGTCACACCACCAATGTTGTTGAGCGATGGGTTAGGAGTGGTGTTTCTACTCGGGATAGCCCCAGCAAGGTTGTAGCGCCACCACCACAGAGGCAAAGACCTGTTGGGAGTATGGCAGTTCGGGGTTCAAAGGAGGAACCACCTCATGGAAAGATTCTCACAATGAGTGAAGCTCGGGTTGGGGACAATGATGTCGTGACAGGAACCTTCTTGGTACAGTCAATACCGGCATTGGTTCTATTCGACTCGGGGGCATCCAACTCGTTTGTATCTTCGGAGTTGGTTAAGAAGCTGGGATTAACCGATTCTGTCGAGGTGAAGCTGAATGTGAAAGTAGCTTCGGGAGAAGTTAAGCCGTGCAACCGGCTGTTTGAGAATGTCAAGATTGCCATCAATGGGGAGGAATTCCCTAGCAACTTAATTCAGTTTGGTTTGGATGGAGTAGATGTGATCCTAGGAATGGATTGGTTGGGGCAACACAAGGCCCAGATTCTTTGCGGGGAACAGAGAGTCGTTCTGAGAGGGCCGACTGGGAAACGGGTATCATACCGAGGCACCGTTGTGGAACCCGAAGTGCAGTTAGTGTCCATGCTTAGAATGAGGGAATTAAATATGTGGAGAAAGGACACGAGGTATTCCTCTATACCGTTGAGAACCTGGAAGTCAAGGAAAGTAAGGCGCAATCTATACCGGTGGTGTGTGAGTTCATAGATATCTTTCCCGAGGAAATTCCGGTATGCCTCCGCCAAGGGAAGTAGAATTCTCTGTGGATCTTGTGCCTGGAACAACACCTATCTCAAAGACCCCATATCGGTTGGCGCCCAAGGAGATGCAGGAACTGAAAGTGCAACTACAGGATTTATTGGACAAAGGTTATATTCGCCGAAGTACGTCGCCGTGGGGACCGCCGGTGCACTTTGTTAAAAAGAAAGATGGAAGTATGAGGTTATGTATAGACTACCGGGAGTTGAATCAGTAACCGTCAAGAATAAGTACCCTCTTCCGAGAATCGATGACCTTTTCGACCAACTCAAGGGTACATGTGTGTTTTCTAAAATCGATCTAAAGTTGGGTTATCATCAGTTGAAGGTGGCTGATAAAGATGTACCAAAGACAACTTTTAGGACTCGTTATGGACATTATGAGTTCACAGTAATGCATTTTGGTCTGACCAATGACCCTGCAGTGTTTATGGGTTTGATGAACCGGGTATTCAAGCCTCACTTGGATGATTTCGTGATCGTGTTCATAGACGATATCCTAGTCTATTCCCGAAGCAAAGTGGAACACGAGAGGCATCTTCGGATTGTGTTGCAGACTTTGAGAGAGAAACAGCTTTATGCCAAGCTTTCCAAGTGCGAGTTCTAGAAGGATAGTTTAACTTTCCTGGGTCATGTGATAAACAAGGATGCTATCTCAGTAGATCCGGATAAGATCCGAGCAGTAATGGATTGGACAATACGGACTTCAATCGCAGAAGTAAAGAGTTTCCTAGGTTTGGCAGGGTACTATCGGAGGTTCGTTTCAGACTTTGCTAAGGTGGCCCAACCCTTAACCAAGCTTTTAAAGAAGGATGTTCACTTTTAGTGGGATCAAGATTGTGATTCAGCATTTCGAGAATTGAAGGCTAAATTGACTACTGCACCGGTGTTAACTCTACCGTCGGGTTCAGAAGGATTCGAAGTGTTTAGTGATGCGTAGAAGAAAGGTTTGGGGTGTGTTCTAATGCAAAATGGGAGAGTGATCGCATATCCATCAAGATAGCTTAAAGTACATGAAGAGAATTACCCCACTCATGACTTGGAGTTGGCGGCGGTGGTCTTTGCTCTAAAGATTTGGAGGCACTACTTGTATGGAGTACAGTGCAAGATCTTCACGGATCATAAAATTCTAAAATATATCTTTTCTCAGAAAGATTTGAACATGCGCCGAAGGCGCTGGCTAGAGCTCATTAAGGATTATGATTCGGACATTCAATATCACGAAGGAAAAGCAAATGTGGTAGCGGACGCTTTAAGTAGAAAGGCTAAGCACTCTATCAACATTACTTGGATAGTGGCCGATGAGCTATGTAAGGAATTCCAAAAGATGAATTTGGAGGTGGTGGAACAGGGGGGGAGTAGAAGCTGAGGTCCGAATGTTCAACTTGAGGATTGTGCCCATCTTGATAGAAGAGCTAAAGTATAACACCCCTAAAATTTAAAACTTGGAATTCTTATGAAATAAAGGCAATACTATCATTAAATCTCGAAACGGAGCATAACTAAACATAAGTGTTGGGGTGCTATGCCACATCTGAGCTGGAGAACTCAGATGCACAGGCTAAACTATCTAAACATCAGAAATCCTCAA